GGTGGGGGGGACCCCGCGGAGGGGAGGGCCGTGTGTGTGTGTGTGTGTGTGTGTGTGTGTGTGTGTGTGGTGCTTTGGGGGGAGGGGAGGTTTTTTGGGGGGGAGAGATGGGAGTGAGAAGGTGGTTGGAGAGGGCTGTTGCTCTGCCGGGTGGGGCACCAATGGCCCGTGGGGGGGCATTAACACATACATATACACACACAAACGGAAAACGAACCAGCGTCCTCATCACACCTGATGTACATACAGACATACAGACATACGCATGCTCCAGCACCAACCCAAATGCCAAATTACGCGCGTCGTTGTTTTAATTGGAGCACCACCATTTGTGTGCAAAGCAAAGGAAGCCATCCGAAGTTAACCCCTAAACCCCCCACCTATTCCCCCCTCGCCTTACCTCCACATACCCCTGTGCTCTTCCTTGGACTGTACGGCAGATACGTGGGCATTCGCTCCCTGGAGCCCGTGGGTGTGTTTCTCCCCGGTGACCAGAATTACCCGGGAGGCGGCCCCTTCGACCCACTCAACTACGCGGCGGATGCTGACGGCTTCGTGGACCAGGTGTGTGTCTGTCTGTGTGTCTGTCTGTGTGTCTGTCTGTGTGTCTGTCTGTGTGTCTGTCTGTGTGTCTGTCTGTGTGTCTGTCTGTGTGTCTGTCTGTGTGTCTGTCTGTGTGTCTGTCTGTGTGTCTGTCTGTGCCTGTGTGTCTGTCTGTGTGTCTGTCTGTGTGTCTGTCTGTGTGTCTGTCTGTGTGTCTGTCTGTGTGTCTGTCTGTGTGTCTGTCTGTGTGTACATGTGTATGTATGTGGTATGGTTTTGGGGGACCAGAAATAACATGCTAATACTGATGATGAAAACATTGATGATGATAAAAATGATAATACAAGCAGCAGCAGCAGCAACAAGGGATGGACTGTCCCGACGTCTACAACCGAGAATGAGTCGCTTTGGGGGATTGGGGACTCGAGCTGGGGGCTATGTGAGGTGCGCAGTAGCACAAGTAGTACTAGTAGCGGTGTCCTATGTTTCGTATGCACGATAATTATATTTGTTACAAGGTACGATTATGGCTATGTGCGGGCGGGTGATGGTGAGAAGCTGGACAGGGGTGCAAGCTCGCTCACTGACCCGTATCACTACTGTCCCTCTTATCGCCGTGCGCTTTTGAACTGCAGTGTGCCGTAATCTGTTGTGTTTTCCCCTTCTTGTTTCCCCCCTCCCTCCCTCCCTCCCTCCCTCACCCTCTCTCACGTCAATGTCGAAAAGCAGTGTTCAGTTTCGCAGGTGGCATATCATCCTCTCTTCTCCATCCCCTCCTCCTGTCGCATCGTACCTCCCACCTTCCCCCCACCCGCACCTCCCCCACACGTGCAGGCAGTCCGGGAGATAAAGAACGGGCGGCTGGCGATGGTGGCAATGTTGGGGTTATTCGTACAGGCAGCCGTTACGAAAAAGGGTCCTGTAGAGAACGTCATGGAGTTCGTCTCAGATCCAGCTGGGGAGAACATCTTCACCAATGTCGCACGGCTGCTATCAGGCGACGGTTATTAGTTGGTTACCGGACTAACAGTTCTTTTTAACTGTATTCTAACTGGGGAAGGAGATCGTTCTGTGGTTTGGAGGAACGGAACGGGTTGATTGCGGTGGTGGTGGCGGGGGAAGTGGTGGTGGAGGTTGTGGTAAATGGAGGGAATGAAGGGATTCAGAGGGGCGGGCGTTGTGGTGGTGGGGTTTAGGGTATTGAGGTGGTGAGGCGGGGGAGGCACAGGTGCGGGAGGGTGTTGAGGGGTTTTGTTGTTTTTTGTGCAGGAGAGGACCTGGGGGAGAGCTGGGACGTGTACTGACGTGTGCTAGCTAGGATTTCTCTTTGCACGTGGTGGTGGTGAGTGCTTAAGCAGAAGCTTCTGGTGGTGTGACTTTCTAGGTTTCTAACCTTGGTATTTGGGGATGAAAGGTAACAGGTTTTTAAGGTTTAATTTTTTTTACTTTAATAGCCGTACTGAGAAAGCTAGAATGATATTATATTTTTCATCTTGCGCGAAGGTAAATGGTGATGCAGGATCGTTCTCACATCACAATCCACCACCAGGTCGTGAATCTTACAGTGGACAACCTGGGACAACGATCGGGTCGAGTGCAGCGCGCCAAGGAACGCCTCCCGCACAACGCGGGGGAAGAATTATAAAATTAGGAAGCAGTTTTTACAGCGGAGCCAGGGCGGCGTTAAGTGCTATCAAATTATCCGTGTTCAAACTGACTCTCGACAGACTTCTCTCTCGAAGTAGAGCACCATAAAGGCAGGGAGGAGGGAGAATGCCAAATCCACTTTTTTATGTTTTGTAACGGTAATCGGAGTTTTACCGATGGTATTTGGGTCATAATGTTACCTATTTAATACCCGTGCTAGATTATGAAGAGAATCTTTTTTCTTAAGCTGGCGCACCGAAAGGCTTTCCAGGTTTTCCAGATTTTTCACCAACAAGTCATACAGCAGAAACCGGTGGGCCATTTTGAAGTTAATGGGTAATAATGAACACAAGAGCACTTGAGAATGTGTGTGCGAGTGCGCATTTACAAGCACCGGATGGTGGGAAGCCGAAGGTCTACGCCCACAACCAGCAAAAGCGGTTGAGCAGCCTGACAACAAGCGAGTATCTCCCACCAGAGCAGCTTACCATCACCAACAACTGCCCTCGAAACCGGGACCATTGTCAGATCCAGAATAATCATCTCGGCCCTGTACTCCGCCGATCTTTACCCCTCCCTTGATGGCAAAAAACCCTTAGTCAATACTCTTAGGACGGACTCATGCTCACAATCAGGCAACATTCAACATTCTAACGCATTTACACATACGCATACACATGACAGCTAACCCTGACTCGTGTATTCAAGCAACAACAGCACCACTACCACCACCGCTACACAATCGGGCAAACGCATTTAGGCACTGGGCGTGAACTTGGTGGCGAAGGCGAAGGCGTTGTTGACGGCCGGGTTGGCCAGATGGTCGTTCAGGTTCTCAATGGGCCCCTTGCCGGTCACAATGGCCTGCACGAAGAAGCCGAACATGGAGAACATGGCCAGGCGGCCGTTCTTGATCTCCTTGACCTTGAGCTCGGCGAAGGTGTCCGGGTCGTCAGCCAGGCCCAGGGGGTCGAACGACTCGCCGGGGTACAGCGGGTCCAGGCCCTCGCCGGCCGGGCCGCCGTTCACACGGTAGCCCTCCACCAGGCCCATCAGGATCACCTGCGCGGCACGTGTTTACGCACACGTTTTTGTGTGGGGAAGTCGTGCATGGTAGGGAGGCGAGAGAGGGGCAGAGCGCATGTCATAATGGGAAAGCCCAGGGGAAGGCCATTCGTACATCTTCATGACATCACTTCCCTGCATACTTCGTGAGTTTAGTTTTTCCCAAATAGATAAGCAAGTAAACAACATTTTTTATTTTTATTAAAACATATGGGCGCACAGTCTGAATTTCAGACTCTGAAAGTCAGCAATGACTGTCGTTCACGTTGTAGTATGAAAATTTGAAATTACTGAGCTCCACATGGAATCTTAGGGTAACCGGAAGCAAGGAAGCCATAGCTTCTCTCAGGGAAACGGCCACAGTGCTCAACGGCGTCCCTGATCTTTTCAGTCTCATCATATGTCTGCTTTGTACCCGTGGTCCCAGTGTTGCGGGCCGGTGCGTTGGGATTTGGTGCGCGTGTAATTGGCGTTCGCATTGAATGCCTATGGATGTGCAAGGTTGTAACAGCTATATGGTAAGACTACAGGTCAGTAGGGAATGACTCATAAGGGTATTTGGAGTAACACGTGAACGACAGTCATTGCTGACTTTCAGACTGTGCGCCCATATGTTTTAATAAATCGTTGGTAGTACATTTGTCAGTGGGCAGCGGAAGTGCATCCCGCCTTAGCGAACCAACTAATCCCCACCGTACCCAAAGGCGGGAGATGGGCACTAGCTCAGCTCTTATACAACAAGAATCCACATCTTACCAAAAACGAAATGATAGGAAATTTCGTTAACAACATAGGATTTATTACTTGTCAGGCAAGCTTGAGAGTGGGATAGAATCTAAAGATAGTCAAAAGCTGGCAGGAAAAAAGCATCACACCTCATTTCAGCTAGCGAATCCCAAGCGTGCATCCTCCACAGTCCCTTCTAGCTCCCACTCACCTGGCATGCCAGCGTCGCGACGATGTTCTGGGCGTGCACCAGCGACGGGTTGCCCAGGTAGTCCAGGCCGCCCTCCTGGAAGATCTGAGCGCCGGCCTTGAACCAGACAGCCTCACCGAACTGCACGCCGTTCTTGGACAGCAGCTCGGGGGTCAGGCAGCCCAGAGCGCCAAGCATGGCCCAGCGCGCATGGATCAGCTCCAGCTCGCGGTAGCGCTTGAACGTCTCCGGGTCAGCAGACAGGCCGGCAGTGTCCCAACCGTAGTCGCCGGGGAACTCGCCAGTTAGGTAGGCAGGGGTGGCATTCTCACTGTAAGGGCCTGTCCGATATGGCAAAGAAGAAGAAAACGAACATTATTCACCGTGCGGTACTGGATAAACGTTAGATACTGAGCAGCAGGTCAAGGAAAGGGAGAAAGAAGGAATCTGCGTTCTCATCCGCATAATGCATTGCAAAATGTGAGCAAAAAGACAGAAACGACAGCCTGCGCTCAATAAACTGACATAGCGGCATGTTGTGCCGAAGAGCTGACTACGTAGCGACTGGTTTATTCCGATCCCCAAGTACGCTGGGGTTGCTAAAGATGGCCGTCGGTTCTCCTCAAAATGACCTACCAAGCCACTTAGCACGGTTCGGCCCGTACCACTCGATACCAGAGCTCTTGGGAGCAGCCGGCTGTGGAGATGTTGCAGACAAGGGTTTTCGATTAGTCGGTGCGACACGCAGCAGCGTCGATAAACGAACAAGTTGAAACCGTTAGATACATGAAAGACAGACATTTCACGGACCTTGGCAGCGGCCTTCTTGCCGGTCGCCTTGCACGCGACCGACAGCGCCTTACGCGAGGTGGCAAGAGCGAAAGACATTATAACAGTAAATTAGTCAATCAAATGAAATAATCAAATCTGACAAACCTGTCAGGGCGCGCCGAGCTTTTGTGCCGCAAGGAAATCTCGCCGTCGTACAGCCTGTCCGGCAACCTGCGACAATCCGGATATCGTTTATGACATTACTTTATATAGATGTCCCAGACCACCGTTACTAGCGTTGTGTTTTATTGAGATTAGTTGAAAAGGCGGTTGACTTACAGTATTTCGAGCGTCAGACGCTAGACCACCGCGTATGCAAAAAGCCTTCGCGCTTTACGGAATTTGAAAGCACGAATAACGATGGACACTTAGCTTGGCTACATTCAAAAATTCACGTGTTACCGGTACTTGGTAAATGGTTCAACTGCCTGCTCACCACCTTGCAAAGGAAAAGTAAAAGGATCCCTGCAAGCTTTACTGGCGCTGTGGCCGTGCCTGCTACTATATAAGCTGAGGGTGTCTCCTTTCCGATATCTCACTTCTTTCCTGGGTGGTTGGACCGGTAACACTATTTGCGAAATAACATTTATAATTGTCAGCTGCATGTTATTCAGCCTTGACCACCTGGTTAAAACCGACACAATGACGTAACGCGGACGCTTCTAACCTGGTGCCAAAACGTCTTGGGCACTACAACCAAGAGGTGCCAAGATCGTCTCAGGCTTTGCCATCAAGTAGAATCGTGTAATGTATGCCTGTATGTTTGCCTTGGACCCGGGGTATTCGTGCTTATGTGGTAGTAACATGTAATACAGCGAGCCCCAGATCCCAAGGGAGTATCCCAGCAGGCTAATAGGGCCATCGGGGGCCACAACGGACCGTGCACTGCACCAGGAAGCTTACGGACATGCATGCCAATAAAAGCACACGTCTTCACGCTTTGAAGAAAACAAATTACAACCTCACGAGCTGTATGGCCTCGTGCCGACAATATTTCATATGAAGTTCTGGCCTTTTAACTTTCGGTGGTAGGATAGTATCAGCGTTATTTTTTTTGCGGAATATATTCCGATTTCGGAATAAAAAAATGTTCGCGGTCCTGAAAGTTAAGAATGAATAATGTTCCGACCGTGCAAGTTCATTCCTCCAGCCAAAAATGGACTGTCCGTGCCAAAGCCGCTAGAATCTCACAGGAGACATACATGTTAACCATATCATAGTACTTTAATGCCATGGATACTGTTAGGAAGCCCGAAAGTCAACGAGGAATCGGACTGTTTCTGACCGGACCAAACGCTGCAAAACATTGACCCGAAGCTCCCAAAGCGTGTTAGGTCATTAAAGCAGATATAAAAAATTACTGAAGCCATTAGCGACGTTAGTAAAGACGGTATAGAGGTCGTAGGGAATGTGGGCGCAATGCTGCAGCCAGCCGACGACAATGACGCCACTCCGGTTGTCAACAGCGAGCGGGCCAAACATCAATGTTCGTCATATGGAGACAATCGCGATGGTCCAGGAAACAGGCTGCGCTTGGTGGTTCCGGTCCATTGCTGCTATGCATAATTACTTTTGCAACCCGGAAAGTCGTGTAGTGTTATCTTTCAACATGATGCAAGACGAACGATGGTGAACGAACTCTATTCGATCAGTGTTTGAGAGGTTGTGGTGTGCGCGTGTTGCGGCATTCCCCACGGCGTTTGCACGAAGTAAACTGTAACTCATCGGGGGGGATCTGGGGGGGGCGGAGCCCCCCCCAGCGCCTTACAGATTCGGAATACTTTTATTCCCGCGACTAAAAACCTATTCCTCCGTTCGGACTGGAAAATTCACCGGCAAAATTGAAAAGAAAAACACTGTAGGGTAGAGGCCAACCATGGAGGTAACGAGTGACGGAGGATCAGGGATCGATTCCCGAGAGGGGCAGATCAAGAGATGCCTTCCACAACCGAGGAAAGGCAGCAGGCGCGCCAATTCCCTCCCGCCATCCATCCCTTTCTCCACACACCCAACCCTCCATACACCCCTTCATACATCCCTCCTTCCGCTAAAAGGGGTGTATGAAGGGGTGGATTAATGGCATTAATCCACTCCTCCATCCCTCCACACATACATCCCTTCATAATTCCTCCATAGATCCCTCCCTCCATACACCCGTGCTCTCACCCTACGGCATAAAAAGGTCGGTAACCGAATGGTTAGCTACAACCCAACTTGTCGCTTCGGTAGGGTAACCGGCATTTCGAGATAATGACTCGGTAACCGACCGGTAACAATACCGGTCGCTTACCTTACCGACCGGTCACCGTATTGGTCGGCATTGTCGTCCGGTACGTAATACGAACCCAACACGTATTCGTACTAAACACGTAAATTACGGGTCGTACAATACGTAAAACGTTAAAAATTACAGAAACGGTATGCAACTGAGCCAAGGCGCCATTCCTCGTCAGGCGGTTGCCCAGCTTGCCCATGAAGAGTTATGACAAAAACGACAGGACAACTCTTGTATTTACAAGTATGTGTCAGGTGTATGTGTCACTGTGCGGGGGCTGCTGATTGCCGACAGTTTTGTTGCCTCGCATTCCTGCTCACGGCGCCGTTTACTAGCTCTCTGGCTCGCTGACACTGTCCTGCCATGGCACCGGCGTTGCTGTTTTGTAGCCCACGGCCTGCACGCCCTCCTTGAGGCGCAAGTTGCTGCGCACGTAGACCAGGTCTTCCGCATGCTTGGCTGTCCGGCGGCTGCTCGGCTTGCTGCGGATGATATTGGCAGCAAGGTGCTCCAGTTGCGCTCACACGTGCTGGCCGACGAGGACTGTGCCAGCATTCCCTTGGCCGCGACGTTCCCTTGCAGCTGTGGCACCATGCCGCCCTTACATGCTCCACAAGTCGACGGCGGGCATGTCCTTGGCAGCGGCAATCACCGCCTCCAGGCCGAAGATGCCCTTCTTGCCGCGGTACTGCGCCAGCTGCTCCGGCGCCTTGCTCTGGTCATCCAGCTCGTTCAGCAGCCGGTCCACCATTGTTGACGAAGCCCGGCATGGCCGCTAAAACATCATGACCCGAGAACTCTGGGTCCAGGACGTAGCCCTGTAGAGCAGTGAATCGAGCATGTGAGTCCCAGCACCTCTGGAAATCTGAATCATCTTCTTGTGCTCGTTCTTCGGCAAGGTGAAGCCGTCGCTGCTGATTAGAGACGGCTTGGCGTCAAAGCGCCGCCAGTAGACTTTCCGGCGGGTGGCAGCGGATGAATCCGCAGTGGGCTACACCAATCAACTCACCAGTGCATTAATCTCCTCGCAACTGCAAGAGGGTGGCCTTGAAGGTCTTTTTTTTGAGTGAGCACTTAGGGTTTCCCGGCTGCGCATGTGCGTGTGTGTGTATTTGTGTGTGGTGCACGCGTCCATATCCCGCCAGTCTGAACACGGCTCTACACCACCCCACCTTTTCGGGGATTTCTGACGATCCTTGACGATGACGATGCCTGGAGAGGCAGGCTTGTTTCCGAACGGGCGGATTCGTTGAATGGCCCCTCCTCTTATCAGAAAACCCAGGAATTATGGGGTTGTATGCTCCCTCGTCGCATCGCTGGATTTATTTTGAAGCGCAATTTGGGAATCCAACTCGGCTGCCAGTGTCAATTTATAACTGCAGCAGGTGCCCTTTTCTCAGCAATGAGGAAGTTTGCGTCCTTACTTTTGCTGATTATGCATAGTGTGGATATGATATATGATATATATGTACGGTATGGCAGTCGAGGCTCTCGCCCAAATGGGGCCCAAGGGCCCTAGATCCGCTCCTGCGCCCCAAGGGCCCTAGATCCGCTCCTGCAAGAACAAGAAAACCCTACCTACATCGGAGGCCCCAATGGGTTCCAAATATCTGGTTGAACATGATGATATGAATCTTGCTGTTTATCTATGCCAGATGATTTTCAGGGAAACGAGCATGTTCAAAAAAGGAAACCATTAGGGTTTGCGTTTCGTTCGTGTTCGACCGTCTAGGAGCTGCTGATACCAGGCGATGACTCAGTTTATCCAAAATAGGCTTAAATCTAAATAACCACCTGCTTTGAGTTTTTATTTTAATCAGCAGCGAGGCTGCAGAGGCAGAGACAGTCGCTGACGATTTCAGAAGACAGCAGCCCTCCTGACGCAGAACGCATGGCTCAAAGCATATCAGCCTGAAAAGCTTTTTTAAGGCGCCCGTCAGAAAGATTACTTGAGTCGTACTGGTGCATTACTACAGCGTTTTCAAGTAACATCGAAGGCGGTGATGGGCGCATACGGTCATTCTTACATATATAATTTTTACATTATACAAAAGCTTGTCGCATTGCTCGCTTTGCTTATTGTGTTCCTTGCGTGCTTGACCTCACGTGCGTCGGTGGCTGCGGGCCGCTTCTAACATAACTCCAGGACCAGCTATTTAGACATTGTACATTAACCTATTTCTTTTTTAATGCATTTAGTGGATGGCCGTTAACCCCTGTGTCTGGCAATAGCGAAATTTTGGGCGGCATCACGGCTTCTGGCACCCCAAGTGAAAGAGAGTTCACAGGACGCGCCTTACACGGATGAGTCACTCGCTGGAGACTCTGAAAGGCGATCCCATGGGCTGAGGCATAGCCATGCAAGTTTCGGCGTCATGCAGACATCCCTCTTGCAGGCTACTTCGCAGCCCGTTTCCAGAAACCCTACTACTGATCAGATGAAATCGGAGAACTTTTAAGAATATTGATATTTTGCACTACCTCCCGCGTACTTTGTTTGCGCGTCGCTTTGGCCCTTGGCATCGAGTTAGCCGATACGTGGAAAGGCTCACCTTGGCCCCTACCAAATCGAAGGTTTTTTTATTGTAAGGTATCAAGATGCCATTATCTGTCAAATTCACCAATGCCAACGGCGATGCCGACGACGCAATGTCGGGTTTGTTGGCGCTTCATGGAATGCGCGTGGGCTCCCATCGCGGAGGGACGTTCGCCACGTTTTCTTTCGCCCCGGCAACTGCAAGCAGCAACAGCACCACAGCCGGACTCCAACAGCAATACTACCCTCAACAACAACAACAACAACAACAACAACAACAACAACAACAACCGCAACCTACACAGGCGCAACACGAACAATACCATCAACAACAAACGCAACAACAGCCGCATCATAACTACAACCACGATCAGCAAAAACTGCTACAGCACTGCCAGCAGCAAGAGCAGCAGCAGCGCCAGCAACCCAATGCCAGACGGTGCCACAGTAAAAAAACTACGCTCACTGCGTCTTCAAGTCGTACAAGCGACGCAGATGAAGTCTCACCACAGCATCCAGACTCCGCGATACGACCGGAAACCGCCCTGACGCGCCACTTCTCCTTCCTGCCTAGAGAGTCCCGTGTGCGCCGGTGCTCCGTGCATACGCCGGCCACTGCCCACGACAACGGCGTAGGCATAGGTGGAGGCGGAGGCGGACCCCGATCACTCACCCCCGCTACAACCACCTCGACAATCGGCTGTAGCGCCGAACGTGACCTGGGGATAGTATCTGCCAGTCGCAGCTACAGCCAGCTCCTTACGATGGGCCCTGCTAGCGCCTTGTCGGCTCAGCTACAGCTGCAGCTACAGCTACAGCCGGGTGTGCAGAGCTTGGTCAACTATCGTACAGACCCCGATGGGCCTACAGGCCGGGGCAGGGGCCGCCGCCGGTCAGTCGTGTCCGTGTCGACGTCAGCTGCCGTACCCATCGGCGGCAGCGGCAGCCGCGGTGGCGGCTCCAATCCATCCAATGCCTTCGCGGCTATCGCTTCTGCCGCCGCTGGCGGCGAGTACGGCAGCAGTACTGTCCGAGGTGGCCCGCCTCGTGTACAATTGGAACCGACGGATGGCGGCTCAGTCGACGGTGGCGGTGGCGGTGGCGGTGACGGTGGCGGTGGCGGTGGCCGTGACGGAAGCAGCGTTCTGAGCGGCCTGTTTACGCCGATAACTTCGGCTTCTGTTTGCCGGGAAGCAAGAACCGTAACGCCGCAACCCGTCTCGCCGTACGGCACGTCCATTGCGACAGCATGTACGCGCGGGAGTGGCTCCGTCCCCCGGATCACGTCGCCACAGAGCGCGCTTGGCAGTCTGCATGGCTTCAGCGGCGGCGCTGGCGCTGCCGTCGTCCGGGACTTGTCAGGCGTCTGGCCGCGCTTCACCCCGGTCCCTCCTCCCCCTCCTCCCCCTCCTCCTCCTCCTCCTCCTCCTCCGCAGCAGCAGCAGCAGCAGCAGCCGGCTGCAGCGGCGGCAACGGCAGCAACATCCTTTCTCCGCATGCAAGATCCAGGCAGCGGCGCGCTGCCGCGCTGCAGCCTGAACCAGTTGCACAGCGTGGCAGCGGCGACACCGAGGAATATGAACAAGACGCCGACGGCTCCTCTCGTAGCCGCGAAGCCAGTTGGGGCCCAGGGCACTGGAGGGGCGGCCCCAGTGTCTGTCGCCACCGCGGCAGCCGCCGCCACCGCCATGGCGCGGCTAAGCACAGGAACCAGCGGCAGCGTCAGCTTGCACGGCGACAGCCTAACCCTCAGCCGTCTGGGGACCGCCAATAGGAGTGGCGCCGGTGGCGGCGGCGGCGGTGGCGGAGGCCCTGGGACGACTACAGGCTTGAGGCCGTTCGCGAACTTGCGTCGAACCTCCCGTGCGACGCCATGCAGGAATTCCGCCGCTAACTTCCCCTCACCCGCTGTGTTATCGCTGGCGGCGGGTGCCGTACTGCCGTGGAGCCGAGCTTACCTCGCGACGGACGAGGGCCCCGGCGGCCAGGTGCTTGGGGGGGAAGGAGGTGGCAGCGCAGCCGCCGCGGCCGCTGCCGTCGTCATTGCATCAGCCTCCCGCGGCGGCTTCATCAACGACAACATCACTAGGCACAGCACGTCGCAGCGGTTGCCGCCACCTTCCGACGCCGCCGCTGCCGCCACCACCAAGTCCGACGCCTTCCAAGCATTCTCTTGCAAAGGACCAGGAATATCCGCCTTCCACCTCTCCTGGCTGTCTTTGCTGTGGGCGCTGTTCTCCACATTCTCGCCGGCCGCAATGCTACCTGAGGTTTCGGAGCAGCTTCACCTGTCGAAACACGTCATGTGCGGCGCGGCCGCAGCATCGCTGCTAGCGGGACTTGTCGTACGTCTCATAATGGCAGCGTTGGTGCGACGGTACGGCCCGCGCTACTGCCAGGTGCGTGCGTCCGACATACGTACATCATTACATGCATGGGTTCTGAATTAAAGCCTTAATCGGCTTATGGACCGGCTGCTGTTGCTGGCTCCGAAAACCGGGAAGCGAGGGGCAAACGGCGGGACGGCGCTCAGGTATTATCACACTGCAGGCAGGGGAGCGGGAGCTCGCTGCTAATTTTCAGGAAACGAAAACAAGGACAGGCGGTCGCGCAACGGCAACGGCAAAAGAAAAGCGCAGTCTGGCGCGACCTACAGCCCGGCCGTACACGCAACTGGCACCCGGCACGAAAAGACACTAACCCCGCCTGGTTAAAGCGCTTCAGACGCTCCGACGTATGGGAAAACAGGGGTACGCCAGCGGCGCTCAACCGCGGGGGATCTCCCAGCGGCTGCTGCCGCCGGGGTGGACGCCTAAACACACGAGGGCTGTGAGGGCTAGCAGCAAACGAAGGGAAGTGCCACGCGGCGAAAGAGAGAGATGTGCCGGTCGGCCACCGTGCCTTGTGGCCTGTTGTCCATGCGAGCTGCTGCAAACTGGGCCAAGCGGGACTAGTATGGTGGTCGGGGACAAGTCAGAGCGAACAGCAGTGTAGGCAGATTGAATGCCGAATGTGAATGCCGAATGTGAATGCCGAATGTGAATGCCGAATGTGAATGCCGAATGTGAATGCCGAATGTGAATGCCGAATGTGAATGCCGAACTATAGGAGCGGATAGCTGTAAGGAACTGTCCGAGGCCCTACCGGTTGATCGGTGTCACAACTTAGAAGCTCTCATCGCTTCTTTCCTGCCGCGTAACAAGTAACAAACGTCAAGACATTACTTGTGCACAGTGTGCATATGTGGATAGGCACACGGCGAGGGGTCGTCCGGTGGCACCACCACCCGCTGAGACCGCTTTGAGGCGCTACTCCCTCCTCTCATCTCCACCACTGCCCCTCTGACTGCCCCTCCACGACCACGACCTCCCCCACCTCCCGTCTCTCCGTGCAGGCGCTGACGATGTTGTTGACGGCGCCCGCGGTCGCCTGCGTGGCGCTGGTGCGAGACAGCGGCGGCTTCATCATCGCCCGCTTCGCTGTCGGCCTGTGTCTGGGCACCGGGCTGATAGGGCAGTACTGGTACGGCAAAAGACGGGGGGGGGGGGAAACGAGGGAGAGGGTTAGGCATGCGTCCGGCCTCATACACACAACCCCCCAGGGGCCCCCGACCCAACCAGGCCTCATCCCCCCTTCCTCCCGGGGGGGCCTTTGCTTGGTCCTATCGCAGCTCGTAGGCCCCTTCAGGGTTCGTACGGCATTACCTCGCGGTTGCATCTTTTTCGGTGACGTAATTCAAGAACTCCGAAGAGATGCAGTACACAAACACACACATACATACATACACATATACACAGCCGCTCATATGGGGCCCCCGCTGCACCTCCACCTCCACCTAGACCTGCACGACTGCACCTGCGCCTTGACGATTGTACAACTGTACGACTGTACGACTGCACCACCTGGGGTTACGCAGGAACCTCCTGGTATTCGATCCCCCCGCGCTCGGAGGCGCCCTCGCAACATGTGCCAGCTGGGGTACAGCTGGCTGCGGTCTGACCATGCTGGTCATGCCGTGCCTGTGGGTGATGTGTGTATGTATGTGTATGTATGCATGTATATATGTATGTACGTATGCATGTATATATGTATGTATGTATGTATGTATATATGTATGTATGTATGCATGTATATATGACTTAGATTATATATGTATGTGCGGAGGCTTGCGGATTGGTCGGTCGCATACTATCGAGGGGAGGAACTATGGGGGGGAAGAGAGGACGAGATGGGCCAATGGCTCAATGCCGCGGTGTCGAGTTGGACCAGGAAGGATCCCCCTACTTGCATGCTCGTCCGTCTGTCTGTCTGTCTGTTTACATGCCTGCTCGTCTATATGTCCGTCCGTCCATATGTGTGCTTGGCTGTCTGACTCATGGCCTCAATTTAGGTACAAGCTGATGTTACGACTGTACGGCGGGGACGGAGGCAATGCCTGGCGAGCTGTGTTTTACTTCCCAGCCGGTAGGTTTAGACAGGGGGGCCCGCAACGGAGCGGCAATTGAATTCCGAGTCATTATCAAAAAAAGGAATACACACCCGTTGCATCTCCTCACAGCCGTCGCGTCCCCTGTATACTATCAACCTGTCGTACTTGCTCACGGTCTCGACGCTGGACACGTAGCTTGGTGCTGGGTTAACAAATTTATATGAAGACATAATTGTATGACATAAAATGACATATACACTATTGACGTTGCGAAAATACATAATTATTTTTGAGGCAACCCCTAAACCCCGTCGTTGCATCCGCCGTTCCACGTCATATCGTACGTGTTCGTTCATGCCGTACACGTCCATACACTGGCATCTTTTCCGTACAGGCATGCACCTGCTCGTGGGTGCGTTGACACTGCTGCTAGGCCAGGACACGCCGCAAGGCGATTTGCTTGACTGGCGTGTGTCTCTGGGAAGCTCTGATCTATCCGGTTCCTGGGGAAGGGTGCAGCAACACAAGCAGCAACAGAAACAGCAGCATAAACAGCAACAGCGACAGGAGAAGCGTCGGAGGAGTCAGGAGCTACGCCGGCTGCAGCAGCAGCAGCAAGAGGAAGTAGCCGAGGGAAAACGGCAGCGCCGGAGCAGTAAACGGAGCAGGCGGACAAGGGAATCCCGTGAAGCGGCGGATCATCGGCCTCTGGACGCGGCGGCAGCGGCGGCAGCTGCGGCGGCGGCCGTGCCGCCGCCGCCGCCGTCGCCGCCACTGGCGGACGACATCGAGCCCCGATTGCATTCGCAAATGGATGCTCAGCAGAGCCGTACGGGGTCTGCGAGCTTGCGGGGTTGGTCATCCTATCGGCGCATGGACGGATTTGGGCGAGCCGAAGCGGCGACTGGCGCGGCGGCGGCGGCGGCGGTGGCGGCAGCACCGTCGCCGCTGCCGCCGGCAGTAGTCGATGCCGAGGACTCTGACGACACGCCCCCGAGCAAGGTCGGGGAATTCCCTTTGCACCCACAGCAACCGCAGCTGGCGATATTGCTGGTGGGGCGGGAGGTGGTGGCGGAGGCAGCGGCGCTGGAGGCCGACGCGAGGGCGCCGGCGGACGCACAAGGGCCCAGCTGTACCGATGGTGGCGGCTGCGGCGGCGGCGACTGCGGCGGCTGCGGCGGCGGCGGCGGCTGCGGAGCAAAATGGTTAAGTCCAGATTTAGAATCGTCGCTGCGGCAGCATAACAGCCAATCCCGGCCTGTCGCTGAGGCGTATGAGGTGGCTGCGGCGGGAGCCGTACAGGACTCCGCGTCGATTTCGTCACTGGGTGCCGCGCTCTTTTCCGGCGACTACTCCGTACATGGCCGCTGGCGGACATTTAAGAACGAACCGCCACCGTCGCTTAACCCCGTCGCCGCCGCCGCTGCCGTTGCCGTTACCCTTCCGGCACGGCCTCCGCCGTCGTCGCCATCACCCGCGCCGTCAATGCCGTCGAAAGGGCAAACGCCGTCACCGCAGTCGCAATTGCAATTAACAACGCAGACCGCCGTCGGCGCTGCCGTCGCCACCGCGGCGGCTGTGAAAGTGACAGTGACGGCACCAGCACTACGGCAACCGTTGCCGCCGCCACCGTTGAGGTTGGACGCTACGCCGTCGGACAATCCGCCGCCATGCCCATCGCCCTCACCGTTACCGTCGCCGTCACCGTCACCACCGGCGGCAGCGGCGCCGTCAACGATAGCAGCGGCGGGTCCGCCGCCAGCGCCCCAAGATTGGATGTACGACATCAGCCGCGACCAGTCCAGGGATTGCACGGCTTACATGGAGTGGCGTCGCAGCCGCGTGCAGCAGCATCGCGCTCTGGGCGCCGGCTGGCGCGATGTTGTACATCTGTACGGCATTGCGTTTCGAAATTATCGCTGCCTGTTGCTGGGCCTGAACCACGGTTACAACTACGGCGCGCAGATGGCGCTGTACAACGTCCTAACATTATACTTGTACCGTCGGTACGGCATTGGTTTCGTTGCCGCTGGCGCCCTAGCGGCGATGCCCGGCCTGCTCAGCGCTGTCGTACTGATGTACGGCAATCATCTATCGGGACTGGTCAGCCGCCGCTTTGGTATGCGCGGCCGTCTGCGGCTTTTGTGGGCGGCTCAGGTTGTGGGCGGGCTCAGCTGTGTGCTACTGGGCCGCGGTGGCGGTGGCGGCGGCGGCGGCGGCGGCGGTGGCAGCAGCGGCGACGGCGGTGACGGCGATCGTGGCAGCTCCTTAGGTCTGATTGCCACAGCTGTGCTGCTGTTGCTCTTCGCGGTGGCAACGCAAATTGTGAGTCAGTCGCTCAAATTTTAGTATGTTTGTGGTTTTTTAATGTATGCGTTACACCTTTTGGAGTTTGCGTTGCTCCCCACGGTGTGTATTTTACAACCTGGGGGTTGTCCCCCCCCATGACGGGGCCGAGGGCCGAAATGTCCGAAAGAGACCGGTAGCTATCGTAACGACGTTATTGGATTTATTATTATTATTATTATTATTATTTATTATTATGATATTATTATTATTATTATTATTATTATTATTATTATTATTATTATTATTATTATTATTATCACGCTATCCTATCGCTCTAAAAGAAAGTTATGGCGAACCCACCGAACTACCCAGACTGTTATGTCGTAGTAGGCAGCCCGCCTACCTGCTGCGGCTTGGGATGACCCTCCTTGCCTGGATATGGCTGCGGATAAGGTTAGGCAACTTGCAGATGGGCTGCTGGTCAACCGCTACCACCATCACCACATCCTTCAGTGCCTGATTCACCACCAGCTAATACCCTGCATGGGCTGTATATATGCTGGGCACTCATAGAAAAGTGCATAGTACTTGCTTTTCGTCCTCCACGCCTTGGAGTGTGTGTGGTTGTTACAGTGGGCTCCAGACTCCCGAAGAGTAGAGCCATCGGGCCAGCTGGCCGTGCACTGCAGTAGAGACTAATATACCAAAAGATTATCACCTCAGATAATTAACCTCTCATCGGTAACCGCTCTCGCGAGCACAGCAATTTGCCAGATATAATTCTCATGAAGGGGTGATGTGCGCCAACGGAATCCCAACCTTTCCGTGGAATTCCCAAAGCTGCGAAACCCTGAATGCGGCCCCAAAAGTCAACAATAACTCGACAAATTGCTTCTTCCGTAAGGGAAGGTCCAGGTAACAGTGCCGGGTTGGTTTTCATGTTTGCAGCCATATAACGTCTCCCATGCTCCATGGCTGACACCGCAGCAAGAGCCACAACATCCCAAACACATTGTTGCACTGATTGTGGGGCTTGGATAAGCCAAAGTTGCTCCCTTGAGACTGGCACTCCTATTGAAAGAGTAAGTTGATCTGCTACTGCCTGTGCCACCGGACAGGCCCAGAAATGATGATAGCGAGGGGATACACCTCCCACTGAACCTATTGGATAACCTCCACAACCACATATCGTTGGGCTCGACATCCTAAGATGGGAATTTCCTAACATAGGCACCCCATCAACCGCGAGACGCCACCAAACCTCTTTTTGTTCATTTTCCCACCGTAAATGAAACCATAAACGATGGAATGTCCGTTGCAAAAGAAGAATAGCTTCATCCAATATCTCAGAAGAACCCGTCGCCTCTTTGATGAAAAGGGTATGGGCCACACGGCGAGCCATCGAAAAAGGTGAAAGTTGCATATTAGTCGCTGTTTTAACGGATAAATGTTGGAATCGGATTGGAGGCCCTACACCCCATCTCCAACCAAGCCTCGACACTAGGGTTTGGGTAACCGACTCAATAGGGGGCACCATCGCTTCCCTAGATTCTACACTCAGCGGCAACAAAAGACTAGCCGCCTGTCTCCAATTCGCTGGAATATCATCTAGAAGAGCGCCAATAGCATCCATACATTCCTGCCATTTACGATAGGTGCACAGGGATTTAGCTAGTGGGGTTTGCGGTTGGAGGTATTGATCCACTATTTGATGCCAAGCCTTGCGTATTGCTAGGCCTGCTTGGTCCGTTGCATTCATAACTCCATCCAAGGCCTCGCGCGCGCAAAGAACATCCCCCAACGTATGCAACGCTTTACAGCCCAGGAGGGCTTGATGTCGAAATTCTAGTCCCGGGCGGATGTTATCTAACTGGACATTCAACCTTTTTTCTGGAAGAACAGGGTTTCCCCACAATGGCAAATTCCAACACCACGCATTAGGAACTAACGGGTGATCATCAACATCTTCCACTGGGGGAAGGTATGCCAACGCTGTCACAATGCGCTGAACATCTGGCGGTAAAACGATTAATCCAAACCAAGGCACTCCCACCTGGGACGTAAAAATACACATAGGATTATATTTGGGGTAAAGGCTTTGTAGGAAAGATTGCATGACCATCACCCAAGGCGGACGCACTAAGACTGGTTGGAGTAATGCTCCCACAAAACGCACTGCCCAGCATGCCCATCGCGCTTGCACATGTTGTCGTACTGCTAATGCCCCAAAACCGCCCAAAGTTGGATGGCCATATAACAAATATTTAGGAACTTCGTTGAGTCGTCTTTCTTGTGCGACCGGTCCGAGGTTCCTATCAATAAGCTTGGCCGCTTTAGCCTCAATATTCATGAGTTTAGCTTCTGGGGGAAACCCCCCGTGTTCCATATGCCATGTAAAACGATGCAGCCCATATGCAGCCGCTGCATGTGCACGCCCAAAAATGGAAAGATTTAACACAGAAATGCGTCGAAACCGAGCCCAGACTTTGTCTAGTTGCACATCCCAGTCCCTGACTGTGGTTTCTCCCACATCCGTAAAAGGTAGATTGAGAGCCGTAGCCATATGTACGACCTTCATGTCATGATTTATTGTTATATGATGTGGGTGGGTACCGAGAGGTAACAGCTCAACCTTATCCAGGTTAAGTTGCTGTCCAGAAGCCTGTGCGTACACCCTCATACAGTCAAGGAAAGCCGGAATTGCTTGGATTCCTTCTAAAACAACTTCCGTATCATCAGCAAATTGCACACCTGTAACCAATTCTGAATTATTTTGGGGTAAATGAATCCCCACTCGGTTGTATTGTAACCAACATAGTAACGCCTGCGCGGCAAACAAGTATAGCAACGGTGCCAACGGACATCCCTGTCGCACACCCGCTGTAAGAGCAACTTCACGGGAAACAAAACCATTTACTACCGCTTTCGACGCTGTATCGGATAAAAGAAGTTTAGTCCAACTAATTAACCCTGCTCCTGCGCCCATAGCATCCATTGCTTCAAATAATAAATTACGATCTAAGGAATCGTAAGCTTTAGCAATATCCAAAAAAGCCAGGAGACACGACTGTCCTGTCGTCGACATAAGTTGCGGTAGATGCCGCAGGAAAAGAACATTTGCACCTATCAAGCGCTCCGGCAGAAAAGCAGACTGCTCGAGCGTGATAAATCTTGTAGTACTTCCAAAAAACTTGCAGGTCCTCTGCTCGCGCGCGCGAATTCGCCGTAACTCTGTACGTTCACCCTGGTCCTACGGGGCCTACCGCCCCCGCCGCTGCCGTACTGGAACATACGCTGTCGCGGCCATGTATACACCCACGCTGTCAAGTATTCCGTACATGCCCTTGCTACCCCTCTTCCCCGCGAGCCTGCAACTCATCTCCAATCTGCGGTACCTTAACCCGTGGTCCCAACACTTAACATGTACTGCCGTACTTTGTCGTACTGCACGTCTTTGTCGAGGTGTACGGCGTACGTGTTCTGGTGGAAGTTGGTGGCGGCAGAGGTCCATGAGGAGGAGAGGGGAAAGATGCGAAGATGTGCGGGACTTGCGTGCCCCGTGTATTGGCGCTTCCTGAGTATTGGCGTGTACGACACATGTCGTGTACAACAGGGCGCCCTTGCCTCTCCTTCATGGTTCAGTTCTTTGACAAAACACACGTCCCATTTCGCACCTTCACTCATCCATTAACACTCATCGCCACCCTCGCTCGACCCGCCCCCATTGCTCCAATAGGCTACAGGAGCCACGTACGCTATCATGCCGTACATCAGCTACCGCGCATTCTCGGCCGTAATGGGCGTTACGTCGTCGGGGGGCGAGCTTGGCGGGGTGCTGCTGCTGGTGGGCGTGGGGAAGCGGGGACGGGTAGAGCGTGTGGGTTTGTGGTGGTCGTACACGGGCCCATGGGTCGACCAGTTGGTGGATCGGCGAGTGCAAGGGCCAACGGTTTGAGAACGGCGTCGGTTGGGGACGGTTGGCGGGATCCTTGGGGCTCCACCCGCCAAATTGTGTATTTTCCTTTCCACTTTCTCTTCTGGGGTTACCTCTCCTCTTTACACCCCCCCCGAATCCCCCCCCCCACACACACACTGCCGCTAATCATCCCCTCCTTTCTCTCTCTGTGCCTTTATCCGACCCACCCTCCACACACATACACTGCAGTATCCTTTAAGGCGTATCACGGGATCTGCATCTGCCGATTGGTACTTTTCTGAAGTCGTGGTATAACAAACACCGACATATGCACAACTTTTTCCCGCCCTTTTTAGGTTTTCTTCTTCTCATCGGACCACATGTCGTACGAGCAGGGGCTCATGTGGATGGGCGTTACGATGCTTGCCACGTCTTTGACGCTGCTCCTGCTGCGCTTTCCGATGTGGGGCGGCATGCTGACGGCGGCCCCCGGCGGGCGGTACGGCAGTGTACGGGAAGAGGATTACTACTTGTCGGTGAGTTGGCCCTATCTAACCATCGCTGTCGCGTTGCGTGGAGGTGATGATGGTGATGATGATGATGATGATGATGATGATGATGATGATGATGATGATGATGATGATGATGATGATGATGATGATGATGATGATGATGATGATGATGATGATGATGATGATGATGATGATGATGATGGTGATGGTGGTGATGGTGGTGATGGTGGTGATGATGGTGATGATGGTGATGATGATGATGATGATGATGATGATGATGGTGATGGTGGTGATGGTGGTGATGGTGGTGATGGTGGTGATGGTGGTGATGATGGTGATGATGGTGATGGTGGTGATGGTGGTGATGATGGTGATGATGGTGATGATGGTGATGATGGTGATGATGGTGATGATGGTGATGATGGTGGTGATGGTGTAGGGTTTACGTTTGTCTATTTTGCCAGTTATTTTCTTTTAGGGTGCCAATTACCGACAAATTATATGATTTTTTTGATAAAATTACCTCTGCCATTACCGTATTAACAGAATTAAAAGCAATAGCACTTATTGGTGTTAAAGAAGAAGAATCCCTGGTTGGTGCAAACAAAACATTTCTTATCCAAAACTGGCGTTTTAGGACCTGATTAAATATTTACATTTAAGATTTTCTGTACTAATTTATCCTTAATTGTTTAAGCATCTGTAGCTCAGCTGGATAGAGCGTTGCCCTCCGTTAGTTAATTTTTACCTAACTATTATTAACTGTAAAAAAAACTTTATGTTAAGTCAATAATATGTTTAAACTTAAGGTATATTTATTTTAAAAATACCACCTATCCCAGAAAAATAGCTTAAACCACATAACTGATCAAGGAATAGAAACTACAAGAAAATCATTAGAATCAAACACAACCCTGACTAAACTCGACCTCAGTTATAACAAAATAGGGAATAAAGGTGCAGAACTTATACTTTCATTTATAAAAGACCACCCAACGATTTATGTTGAAATTGCTCATAATGACAATATTAGCAAATATTTCAGAAAAGCTATTATCCCTAAAAATATTTCCAGCAAAAAACTTAAAACAGAACCAGAACCTGTGATGGCTAAAACCCTTATCAAGACAGACAAAGAAAAATGTCACTTTTATCTCGTTGTTGGTCTATTTGAGTTTTTAACTGTTTTTGTACAGTTCTAATAGACATGTTGTGCCTACTTTCTGTTGCTAGAGATAAAATAAATGAACCTACAGCTTTTACATTATTCACACCTTTTGTAGAAACAGCTTCTAGGACAGTTGATGATGGTGATGATGGTGATGATGATGATAAAAGGTATGCGCAGTAGGGGCTGGACAGCCAAGAAGCGCCACGCGGGTGTGGTTTGGTAAAACCCTATGGTTTTAGTTAGGGTTTAGCTCGGGATTAAAATCCTGATAGGCGGTAGAGATAAGGATTGGCGGCGATAGGAGCCAAGAGGAGCGGTTGCGATTTGGTCTGCGGAGTCGGGGCCGGTGGGAGCGGTTTTGTGGCCGCCAATAACAGCGTTCGAAGGGATTTCCAACTGCGAAACGCCAAGAGCCATGAAATCACAAAACCTAAAGCGTAAAGATAAAACTACCACATTGAGATCGCCATTTCCTTAGTTATTGCCATTGCCTTTGCTGTTCTTAATGCAATTGCGATTGTTATTGCTATTGTTATTGCTATTGTTATTGCAGGAGTGGACCCGGGAAGAGGTGGACTCGGGGGAGGCAACATGCGCGTTGGACTTTGCAGTGCGCGCCCGATCAGAACGGGGCTGCGGCGGCTGCGGTGACGGTGGCGACGGTGATGATGTTGAGGGTGGCAGTTACCGACCGGTTGAGCTATACCTTGAGGAGCCTGTGACATCAAGTGACAGTGTACGGTGAGCATGTACGGCCGTACGGCCGTTCAGCTTCACTGGGCTGCTGGGCAAGGGGGAACGCGGTTTGTTCACTTTGCTTTCAGACATTCCAGAAGCCAATCATGTGCGTTTGGAGTTAGGAGCTTTGTGGTGAATGAGGCTCCCCTGACATGAGTCAAATATATATGGCACCCTGGGCTTCTGATGTTGGTTGAAGGAGTGCCGTACAGTCGTTATTATTGATTACCTTTAATATATATTTTTTGCAAATACCTTTAGTACGCCTTTGCCTCGTTGCTGCTGTTGTGTGAGTCACCTGTAAAGCTGTCCAAATAATAAAGTTATGTTTCTGGCCGGTAAGGAGGAAAACACGCAGCGTCGCGCAACTGCGATGTGCGCGCGTCTTTTCGGGCATCGGTTATATCATCGATTGGTACAGCAATTTGGTCTGATAATTTTTGGTTTCGGTCTTTCGGCTTTGATTGTTAACGTTGTTGCGCATGGTTGTGGCGAACCGGTGGTTGAACGGGCTGTTGGTCCATTCCCAGCGCCTGGCTTAATTCAGGGCGGGGGTTTTATCGTAGAGTATACTGACCCTATTGATACTGACACATATATGAGCAGCGGCGGCATCAGGCAAGAAAGCCTGGACATTTCTCTTTTCACTTCATTCAATTCCTTTTTTCGATCGCATCATTCCCTCGAAGCGCAGTGCGGGATGGGCGGGAATTTGAATATGACGGAGAGGTTGCAACCTTGCCTGTTGGTTCTGGTGAGGACCACAGACAAGGCTAATGTTTTTTAACGGAGAAACGGATGTACGGCGACATTGTACAAAATTGTACAAGTCGGGCTCTAACTCGTACGAGTCTCCACGATGGAACATTCTTGTACGGGGTCGTATTAATGTAGAAAATGCTTTTGTCTCGCTGCCCGTTCGCCAGCTCGTTCGGCGGCTTCTTTGTGCACTTGGTGAAACCGTGCTTCACCAATTATACTTTACCAATGCGTAAACAGTTGCGAATCTTAAAGCAATTTCTGGGGTACGCAAACGTAGCCAACTAGTTGTCACTTATTATTAACCTGCAGATTGCTGTCTTCTGAGTGGTTACACTTCGGTTACGATTCGGTTACCATTCGGTTACTGTCCTAGGCGGCGCGGCCGAAGCCAGGTGGTTGCTTGTGTATAATGCGTTACCTACGCCGAAGCTAGAGATGGCCTAGGGTTATTTCGGTCATAGTTACTGATGTTGCAAAATGCCGTACGCATCGATTGAGCGGCCATTAAATGTGGATGTGGGTACCCGGAAGCGGCAAAGAAAACAAGTTGATCGCCCCCCGGGCCATCCCTCCCCTTGCCGCATATTCTGTCCTGCGACAAGCCGTGATCCCTCATGTGAACTTGTATGCTTTGCCGAGCCGAGCACATTTCCGTTGTGCATTTTGTCTCTCTTCGTTGCCGTTGACGTTCAGGAATGATGGTTTGTGGTTCGTCGATTGTTCCACAGGCATCGCTTGTGCATTATTAAGGTGAAAAAATTATATATAAATTGCCGTGAAAAAATATGTATGCGGCAAATAAAACTAATGTTTTAGTGTCTTGGGCAATAAAGATTCGTCTCCCGCTTGGGACGCTGGGCGTAACTGGGCTGATGGTGGGTCCATGCTTGGTGAAAACATTAACTTCCATTACGCTTTACAGCTGTACTGTTGCCCTAGCGACGGAGTTCCCGGCTGCAAGCCATGCAATACCGCACTTGCGACTTTGCTGACAACGACGGTAAAAGTATTTGCTTGTAACAGGACAAATATTATAAAGCTGGTTGCTGCTGCAGCAGCAACCACAGCTGCTGCTGCTGCTGTAGCATTCAGCTGCAGCACCGAGTTAGTTCGTGTTCATGTCTGTCGTTTTGGTATCATGCTGCTCCAGGGAAAAGGGGAGAACGAGGGATTAACTTTGCGAGTGAGGACAAAGGGATACGTGTGCTTACATGTGCGTGCGCGTTTTCATGATCTTCGGAGCCGCGATGTGGTAAATGTATGTGTCGATGGTGGTACACGAAGATAACTCCATACCGAAGCGAGTGACGCGGTGGAATTTTTCAGATTATGACCTTTTGAATACATTAAACGTGTTTGCTTACCTTCCACTCCACTTTTTTGCGAATCTTCGGCCACATTCCCAGTGTTTTTAATTTAACTTGTTTATTTTTTGTCAAATTTTAAACTTTGGGGGGAAGAGCACTAAAGTTCTTCATCCCCTAAAGGGGAACCCCTGTGGGAACCCCTTTAGGGGAACCAAAAAGGTTTCCCTTCGGGGATGAAGAAGAAGACAAAGTTGCACAACCCCTGTTTTTGTAAAAACGTTTTATATGGAGCACAATTTGTTTGGTGTACTAAATAATGTTTTGTGCTAGCTGTTGTTTCTAAATGTTTTGGGTACTCCTCTGGCAAGACAGTCAGACGCGTATGGTCCCAGTCGCTCATCAAACGCTCTCTTAGTGCCGTTATCATCGCTCCTTCGGGTAGAGGCCTACTCAACAACCAGTCATCACGCTCCTTTACCCCCATGACTTCTTGCGGTATTCCGCTCCAAATATTGCACTCCGAGAAAGAAAACAGTCGTAACATTTAGGTTCCCCAACCCTCCCATTCCGGGTTGGTCAGGGCATCGGTTATCTCCTGCCGTAAAACTGCATGAGCAATGGACCCCACTTGCTTTTGAAGGCGGTTCCAGAAACGGAGGATCTGTTTCACCATGTAATACTGTAAGGGGAGTTCAGCCAGCTCCGCATACAACAGCCTGTGGGATGGCCGTGCCGTCCCCACTACCTGCCTCATGAATAAAATCTGCAGCTGGACTGCGCTATCCTTCAAACAGGCTTCGAACATGCCCTCCGCAAGGTTGGCTTTATCCCGCCGCCTTCCCGCCCTATTCACGACCTCTGCCAACGCAAAAGGGCCCCACGCCTGGCAGCCATACAACAGAATTGCTCGGACTTGGGTTGCAAAGCACCGCATTCGCACGTCGGGGGCAAACAGCTTCATTTTGTCCAGCTTTGCGCTTAAGGAAAACATAGCGGACCGACCTGTATCACATAACTGCTGACGGCACGCACTAAAAGGCCGTTCTGGCCCGTATACCAAGCCCAGATAGCGAGCGCTATCTTTGGCAGGTACTACCTGTCCTGATAGCCGTAACTGTTGACATCTCTCGCTAAGTTCCGACTGCTGGGTGCCATCACATGCAAAAACAAGCCTTTCACACTTTGAGACATTTGGTCGCATACCAAAGGCTTCGCAAAACAAGTCCACAAGATGTAGCAACTCAGACATTCGCTCTAGTGACGTCGCTAGCAGACTATGGAGACGCGCTTGCTGTCCACAAGGGGTGTATCATGCTTACGTACTCCAGCTTCTACAAGGTCATGAGTATCAATCAGATCAGCTAGTGTCTCAATGAAGAGTCCAAACCACACCGTAGATAGAAAACACCCTTGCTTCACGCCTTGCTTAGACTCAAACTCTCCCCCCACTTTCTCATTCATCTTAATCACCATGGACACCTTCTCGTACGCTTTTCTCAGAGCATCTAGCATGGGGCCGCTAATCCCCCTCTCCTGCAACCGAAGCCACATGTGCTCGCGAGGCACCCTATCAAAGGCCTTCTCAAAGTCAATCTGTACTGTTATCAACGGCGGCTGCCCCGCGATCCGATGCCGCCTGACCAGGTGTTGCTTGACAAAGAGGTGATGAGCGGTGCCGAAACCCCGCCTGAAACCCGCTTGGCATGGGTGCCGCAGGTCCAGTATTTCCCCAGCACGTACCAGACGGTTGAGAATCTCTGACGCATAGCACTTCACAAGTGCTCCTCCAATTGCAATGCGCCGATAATTTCCTGCCACCAACGGGTCACACTTCTTCAAAATTGGGGATACCACCGTTTTGGTAAACTGCTGTGGGAAGTCACCAGTTGCCCTGATGTGCTCTAACAGAACGTGCAGCACTGGGACGATACAGTTCACCTCCGTTCCCTGCCTGCCCTGCGCATCCACCCGTGGGAGGCGTGCATAACGGTAACATTCCGATGGTACGGCCACGAGCCCATGAGCCTTTCCGTTTGGTAACCTACCGACAGCACGCGCTACCTCCTCCAAGGTGAAAGGCTCATCCAGGATGCTAGCTGCCCCTGCCCTCCTGTCCATGACAGTCCGACATGCTTGCCAAGCACCCTCTCCCAAAGGGGCCCCAAAAAGGAGATATAGTTAAGGAGCCGATGTGCACCTTCAACACCCGTCTCCCCAACTCCTGCGTTTAACAAGGTGGCAAAGTGATCCCGAAATACATGCAAGTCATCAATTGCACAACGCTCCCTGAGTTGCCCTCCCAAGGCCCGCCATAATGCGCGCTGATTGTGCCTGCACCTAACCACAAACTCACGCATTCTCTCTGCATCATATGCTGCTCGGGCACAACGTTTGGCACGATTCATTACTTGACGTGCCTTGCAGAACGCTTCTCACAAAGAACCTGACTTATTCTCGAACCTGCCAGGGCCCAGCCGCACCCTGCAAGCAAGAACGTGTTGCCGGGTGCTTTGGCATTCCTCATTCCACCATAATGCACCATCCCCCACTTGCATACCCTCAGGCCTGCGACCCGCAAATAATCGAATCAGCACCTTTCGCAGGAGGGCACTAATGTGCTCCACCAACTCCGTGTTGTTGCAGGTCCCATTAGATAGGTCCGTGATCACCCCATTTAGTGCGTGCATGACCTGAGATCCCTCAGTGAACAGAGCGGCATAGTCACGATAACGGGAAATTTCAAACACTGCTCGCTTTTTTCGGCAGCACCCTTTGGCACTCGTCCCAGTTCCTCCCACAGCTAGACCAAGCACTAGCGTCACTGGACGGTGGTCAGTCGGGAACCTACCATCTGGCGCGAGCAGCTCACCCACTCGCATCCAAAAGGCACGATGCGGAACACCAGCGGAACCTACAATAAGATCGATCATGCTCCCACCTGCTTCACCCTTGGGGAAGGTCAGACGACCCTCTAAATCCCCAGAAACACGGCCATTTAATACCAGCAGTCCCTGTGATCGGCACAGGGCACCCAACTGGTGCCCAACAAAATTGCAGACGACGTCCTCACTCCTAGTTCAGGCACGTCTGCATAGCCCTGAGGGTCCGCGTCACCCGGCAAGCCCATGAACTCCTGCAGTGCCGTCAGCTGATCTAAATCTGGAACATCACTTATGTACCCGGGCAGGTCAGCAGGCGAGGACCGGTGTGCTTTGCATGCAGTGCACTGGATAGACGGGCATTTAGATCGCCGGCAAGCATCACATCCTCCCCCGGCTGCCGGAGCTCAGAAATATCTTGTTGGACTCTCGCGAAAGCAGCCTCTGCTGCTGCTGCATGCTGTGCATTAGTTGCACCTCCGGCTGGGAACTGTTTTGCTGGCCATCTGTAGGATAAAGCATGTTCTGAAGTAAAGCGTACAGAGATAGACCGCGTAAACAGATCTGAACTGACATTTGACGCCATTAGAGCCGCGTTGGGGTGCGAACAGCTGTTCGCTGCAGCATGTGCAGCAGTGCTGTTATGCTGGACGTCCATGCGCCAGGCATGCTACCGATAATGCACTCCCGTACATCTCAGTGTCCCAGAACCGCGGAGTACAGCTACTTTGTCGGGTTTCGCTTGGATATTTGCAACCATGTGCGCTGATTGCTTTGTGGATAGTCGTGGTGCGCGACGCATGTGAAGATTTAGAATCTCCCTTTGAATTTTGTTCTGGATGTCGTTATATGGGCTCGCGTTCTGCTGGTGAGTGCAATGGTAATGTTGCCGTTAAACCACCGTAGACCTGTGTAGCAGACATCGGCAAACGGGGTATTTCTGGTTTCGGGAACGGGTCCATTTCTGTCATCATGGACCGCGAACTTAGGTCGTCGGGCGGCCCTTCGGGCCGCATAGCACCTTTCGTATACGGTGTATGATCCTATTTCTGCAAGCCGGCCGGCTTCGGGAACTCTATTTCTGTTTTCGGGAGTTTCGGTACGACCCGAAACTCCTGAAGGGTTTGCCGATGTCTGCTGTGTAGTTTTTGAGTCTTCTCGATCGACCGCGTCTGCCATTCTGATCTCATTTTCAGGAACATACACGGGTACATTACGTAGCAACGCGGCACAGCCTGCAGCGAGCGGTTCAGCAGTTATGAAATGCACGCGAAACAGCTGAGGTTTTAAATCCTCGAAGCCAAAAGGGATTCATCCTTAGAACTGGAAAAGTTGAGGATGGTTGCCAGGTTGCCCTATTGCACTTCTTTTCCTCTTCCATTTCTTTAGTACTCCCTTATGCCGGCGGAGTTGCAGCCCCAATCCCATGATGGGATTCCCATCATCTGAGGGCCACTGGACCAGTCGCTGTTATAGCATGTATGTTTGAAGATGGACACAGCATGCAGCTCTACCTCTTAAAATGTCTTTTGGAACCGCTTGTTGACAGTCGTCGACCATAGACCACATCGTCGGAAATCGCCCAGTCGGACAATCACGTATCCGGCAACAATGCTAAACAGATTGCAGTAAGAGAACCATTAATACTGTCCTGGGCCAACTATGCAGTAAGTGCTGCAAAATTGCAAATGCAGACGGTACACTCAACACAGGATTCGGGATAGCAATTGAGGCGAATAATATTTAGACAAGAGTCCAGAAATAATACAAATCATTGCAATTCGGACTTAAGCTAGCTCTGCCCATGCTCTACGGGTTAGCCGTACAACGTCTTCTGTGGCGTACGCTATGCGTTGCCAGAATGTGCACAAGGCTTGCAGGTAATGCATTCAGACATCTGTAGTGAGGTTGGTCCCCTCCAAAACTTGACGTATATTATTGCACTTCTTCCTTACGATGACCGTAGACCCCCCAGCTCTCATTGATGATGCACCCGCCGAAATCGACCAGGCGCTTACGGAGCTGGAGGCCAAGAAGAAAACATGGGCTAACCTTGCATTATCACAAAAAATCGCCCTCCTTGACGTAAGCCAATTTGCCCAGCCCCAACACTACAACTTCTACAACACTCGCCGACCTTTGGCCCCGCACCCGAGCCTCTGGGTCCCCTCTCCGCTGACGTCTCCTGGCCCACGTGATCCCTCAGGCGGTTCGTGTACGACTGCTTGACAAGATGAACGAGTTAGCCCGCCTCGGGGCCGAGGTCAAAGCCAGCACCGACGAGGTAAAATGTCAATGCTCTCGAGACCGCGCGCAACACGGTCCTCTCCCCTCTGTCCCTTCAACCCCACCCCCACCGGCTCACTGATTCACTGCTTCCGATTGGATGTGGCGCTTACCCTCACTTCCGTGCCTCCGACCCCTTCCAGCTCCACGTTTACAAAAACAGCATGCGAGTTACAGACACACATACACACAAACACACTCCATCGGGTGGTATGCGTGCCCATTCAAGAAGCAGCTGCTTGGGGCCATGCCGGTGAACATGCCTCGTCGTACACACATACACGTACATATGTACGGCGGCCCAGTAGCCGCAACCTCCCCCGCACCCTGACCTCCCTCCCCCACCCCACCCCGCTCCTGACCTCCCTCTCCTCCGCCCTCTCAGCACGTCATCATGGGGGAGATGTTGGTGGCGGTTATGGCCCCCGCCGTCTACATACACAAGCTCCTACACACGCTGAGAGCTCTGGCCGCCACTGGAAAGGCACCCAAACTGCCTGTACGGATAACACAAAGCGGCCAACGTGCCGTACAGGTGTGTATGTGTGTGTTTTCGTGTGTTTGCCGAGGTTACCCGGGCGCATACGTAAGGCGGGTGGGTAGGTATCCCAGCGGGTGAGGCTGTACAGAATTTACGCAGGAGGGGAGGAAGTGGAGGGGGGGAGGAAGTGGAGGAGGAGAAAGAAGGGGAGGAGGGCTAGGGAAGGAGGGGGAGGGATGGAGGGAAGGGGGGGGAGGAGGATGGGAAAAAGGAGGAGGAGGAGGGGAAGGGAGAGGAGGAGGAGGGGAAAACGGAGGAGAAGGGGAAAAAGTAGGAGGAGGAGGAGAAGCTACAGCTGCAGTGGGCGCCTCGGCATGCGCTACCTACTGTGTGCCCTAAGGAGAGCCGAATCAAGCCTCCAACGGTCTGATCAACCACCCAACCACCAACTAGCAACCTCCCGCCAATTCGGTCATGTCCAGGTCTTCCCCGTCTCTTGGTCCGACCGGCACAACCTTGTATACCCGGGGGTGACTGCGGAGCTGGTGCTACGGCCTGAAGTACGGGACGTACGGCAGGCGGAGCTGTACGACGCTAAGGGCCGTGTTAAGGGGGGCAGGGAGGGTCTCTGCGCTGTGCTGGGCGCTGGAAACCATGTGAGTGGGTGGGTGGGTGGGTGGTTCGGCCCCTCTGGTTCGCACTTCCTTCCCCGGTTGGCCCGATTCGATTAGACTTGAATTGCTTCCTGATATTCCCAAATACGACCCAATGCCCAATTCCCAAATACGACATCGCGGTTCCGCTCCCTCCGCTCCCTTACCTCCTGACCCCCCGGGGGGTTTCCGATCGTGCTACTCAAACAGACTAGTTCTCCCCAACCCCTCCACGCACATGAACACACATACACACACACACATCTAGCGGCTCAGATTACTTGAAAAAACACATACAAACATACATACACGCCCTTAGATCATTAAACCACCCCAGGCCCCACTCATCCCTCCACCTGGCGCCTCTAGGGGTGTGCCCAAGCCCTACTTCTCACAAACACCCCCCTGCTGCTCCCCTGTGTGCTGTGTCCCCTTAAAACCCCAAAACCCATTTCCCCCCCGGCCCCCCCGGCCCCCGCTCTCCTCACGTCATCTCACCTCACCCCTGCACACCCGTGCTCTCCCTGGTGCGAGTGTATTCCGAGTGCAGGGCTTCCTGACCCTGAAGGACGTGTTGGTGTGTTTGTACGAGCGGGGCCAGGTGGTGGCTGTGAAGCCCCACCCTCTGTGGTTCGAGTGGCACCGGGTCGCGGACTACGTACTACAGCCGCTCATTCGGGTAGGCAACGGGGGCCCGGGGGCCGGAGGGAATAATGTGTGTGTGTGTGCCTGTGTTGTGTGTGTATGTGTGTGTGTATGTGCGTGCGCTGCGGATGCTCGTATGGTATGAAGGGCTCACTTACCACCCTCCGTACCTCGCTCTCCGCCCAAGCTCAGCGCCAAGGTACACACACAGGAACGGACGAGTTGGGCCCCTTTCCGGTGTTCTCTAATTCTTGGGAGATTGCCTTCGAGCCGTTAACTGACGATAATTTGTTTCTTGGTCGGTCGTGAGATCCTGGCTGATTACTGTCGTGTGATTAGCTGCGTCCATCAAGTTTAACTTTCCATTTCATGGTTGCCCCCAATGTATCGGGTCGTCCCCCGCAGGCCGGTTTCGTGCAGTCGCTCTACCTGCCAGATGTGGACTCCACTCGCAGCCTGGTCTACAGCACCAAGCTGGACTGTGTGCACCTGACAGGTGAGTTTGAGGCCTCCCCTCCTCCCCTCACTCCCGCCCACCACCTTGTTTACAACCACCGCCGGTTGGTGGTGGTGCTGGTGCTGGTTGTCGTACATGGTACTGGACGACCGCAGGCGGCATCGCCACACATGATGCCATCGTCTGGGGCTCCACGGTTGAGGAGCAGCAGCGCCGCCGCCAGGCCAACGACCCGCTGCTCAAGGTACGGCATGCCGTACTGCACATACTACGACACAACCTCTCCCCGCACCTCCTCTTCTCCCTGCCTTCCTCCTCTCTCCCGTATTATCTCCCTCTTTTCCTCTCACACACCTCTCTTCACAACAGTCGGGCAGTCGGGATTTCGGCAACTAAATGTGTGTACGCATGTATGTGTGTATGTGCACGTTTGCATCTCCTCCCTGCCTCCCCCCCGCCCTTCTCTCCTCCCGTCCTCCCGGAGAACCGGACCTCTCCTCTTCCGCTCCCTCTCCTGACCCCTCTTCAGCCCCTCACCCCGTCACCTACGGCATTCTACCCCCCTCCGCAAACCCCACCAATGCACATTCCCCCATATACCCCCTCCGCAGGTGCCCATCACCAGCGAGCTGGGCTGTGTGACTCCCTTCATCCTACCCGGCTGGGACTACACCCCCGCGCAGCTTAGAGTGCAGGCGGAGAACCTCGTGCTGGCTGTAGCCGCCAACTGCGGCTGCAACTGCAACAGCGCCAAGGTGTTGCTAATGCCGGCGGACTGGAACCAGGGGGAGGCGTTCCTGGAGAATGTACGGACCGTACTGCGGGGCATGCCGATGGACCCGCCATTCTACCCAGGCATCCAGAAACGGTATGTATGTATGTATGTATGTATGTATGACTTAGATTACACTGTGGGCCGCGAGAGCCGGGGGCCGAAGCCGAAACACAGCGCAAGGGTCGGGAGCACACAGCACAAGTCGGTTAGTTTTGTGTGCCCCCGACCCCGACTCAGACTGCCAACACTCTACGCAGCCACTCCGCAGCCCCTCCATCCGGGGATGGCGCTGCATTGAATACACCACGAAGGGCTCTCAGGTCCCGCTAGAGCGAGTCCACAAGTCTCAGCTAGGGCAAAGTCAAAGGCTCTCTGAAACAACCCCCCAAAACACCACCAACGAAAACGGGATTCGAAGGGAAAACAGCAAACAAACAAAAATACGGTTAAGGCAGGGGAGGGCTCCTGATATACCTAACAGGCCAACAAAAAAACCTCCAAGAGAGAAAGGCTAAGAGAGCTCGACACCACAAGACGTCTTGCAACCACCTTAAAACAACTGACCTCCACCACCTGTCCCTTCCTGGGCTGGTCCAGAGGAGAAGTAGCCATACAAAGGAAAGGGACCACGCACAAGCCCGATCACCACTGCAGGAGCCCGGGATAGACCAGCGAAACCACAAAAGCGTTAGCGTTGCCACGACACACAGCTCCTAGACCCTCCAGAAAACCGCAGGGGGAGGATTGTAGCCCGCGCGGCGCCTCCCCCTTACCGCCACTAACCTGAACGGTTGGTCCTCCAGAAACCTATTCACCCTGTCTCGTACTGCACCGCTCTCACCCTCGTCCCTCACCAAGCAACCCAGTCCCACAGAGAAGACGTGCCTAAGTAGAATGGCCCTCCTCGGGCCACACCTCCCCCTCATCCGAGCCCCGCTACCACCACCAGACCTCAACCTCCCAAACACCAGAAAACCTACGTCCTTTTGGCGCTCTCACCGCCATTTCCCCCCTCCCCTGTCCGAGCGACCCCACCTCCCCCCGGCTCTCCAGGGCGACCCTACAACCTCGGAGCGGCACTAGGGAAGAAAAAGGGTTCTTCCCTGCACTACGTGACCGCCTCCATTCCCCGTCCTTCTCCTCTCCCTCTCCCGTCTCGGGGTTCCCTCTCACCTATTCCCTTGTCCTCCAACCCCCATCCGCCTCGAACTCCTATACCCCCCCGAGCCCTGCCTTACAAACTAAGCTCAAAGCGCTCTTAGGCAATAATTTCCACCGCTTCGGCGCACCGCAGTGCACCTTCTGAAACCGACAGGATCGGGTGGTCGGGTCCCACCCTGTCCCAGCCTCTCCGCGGGGTGCCCAGCGCCGTGAAGGAGCGCAGACGCGCCCAGAAGTCCACCACTGCCCGGGCGCAGGCCCGCTCCAAGGGGGTTGCTGCGGGTGCTGCTGCCGCCGCGCCTGCCGTTGCTGCTACCGCCCCTGTCGCTGTGTTCCGCTCCTGCGTTTGGTCCTCATCCCCCGGCGCATTCAGTGCAGGCCCCGTCTGCGGTCCCGCCCCGTCGGCCTGGATGAAAAAGTCCGTTATCCGCCTCTGCCTGGGGCCGGGTACCTGCACCTGCTGCGCGTGCTCCCGGTTCTGTGGTCCTTGGCTCCCAGCTCGTTCCTGCCTCCTGCTCGCTGCCCTCAGGCAGCATCTGCCAACCTCCATGGCAGACAGGGCCGACAGGGCAATTATATCCCATACGGCCTGTTCGCATCCGGTTGGGGCCAGTAATAGCCAGAGTTGCTTTCGGGTGACTCCACCTACCGCCGCTTCCTGAGAAGACTGTAGATGCCGGTCGATCTGTGCCCGCACCGCCTGCGCCACCGGGCATTCCCAAAAGTGATGCATGCGTGGCGAGCATGGCTGACCAGCTGCTCCACCGAATCCGCCACACCCACAACGTTCTGGAGTCATGCGGGCTAGGTGCGTGTTGCCCGGTAGGGGGACGCCATCCACTGCGAGCCGCCATAACGTCTCCTTATTCTCATTCTCCCATCGTACCCCAGACCATACGCGGGCCTGCGTCGCCCTGAATAGGCTGATTTCCGAGGGGGGCGGCGGCGACGGGCCCTGAGGATCCGTCGCCTCCCGCACAAATTCAGCTACCAGGCGTCTTCTCCTCTCCTCCATAGGCCCACATTGCAGCTGTGTCGCCAGGCGAACCGTGAGGCGTGCCAGCGGGATGGCTTCCGCCATCCCAGGTATACGCCACCCAATTCGCCCAGCAATCATACCCATCGCTTGCATGCTGGTCAGCAGTGGTGCTGGTGACGGTATGACAGCCTCCTCCCCTTCCGTTGCCGCTGCCATCGGTTCCGTTAGCCCCCGCTGCTGCTGCTGCTGCTGCTGCTGTCGCCGGGTCTCAACCGTTCTAGCAGCTTCGAGCCAGGCCGGGTTTTATGCTGCTATGCAGCGCCGCGAGGGCTGCCCGGGTCACGGGTTTATCCCGCGTGGAGATCGGGGTAAGCGGGTCGAGGTGAGTCCGGGCCCACTCCAGCCATACCGTCGTAGGGAGGGTTGCCAGATCGCTGCTCTCTGCCAGGGTCCAAACCCGCACCAGGTCCCCTACCGTCTGTAGTTTCCTGCAGGCGGCAAGCCCAGGGTATTGGTACTCCAGGCCGGGGCGGCGGCCCCGGTCCGTCGGGTCGGTCCCTCCAGCATTGGGGAATAGCGGATTTTCCCATAATGCAGTCGCCCAGCACCAGTCACCGGGTGTCAGCGGGTTGGTCCCGATGTCCTCTGGTGGCGGCAAGTGCCCCAGGGCTCCCACAATCCGGCTGATATCCTTCGGCAGGTCACGAGTCCCAAGCTAGGGCCCAGTTGGGCTCGCGGTTGTCAGGGCCCACGGCTGGAAAGCGGGGTTCGTGAGCAGAAGGTAGGCTGAAAGCGTGCGGACCCAGGGGTGGATACCTCCGCCCACCTGCATATCTGTGTCTGTTGCGCCTGTATCTGATCTCGTGTTGCCTGTTCGCAGCCCTAGGGTTGCGATGACAAAACGAGCTGCCCACACCGCATGCCGGGCTTGGATGTGTTGCCGGAGGGGCAGCAGACCAAAGCCTCCTGTCGATGGGTGACCGATCAGGAGTTCCTTGGGCACGCCAGTCAAGCGTCGGCCAGGATCATCCGGGCCTTGTTGGCGGTCGACCAGGCGAGCCGTGAGTCGCTCTATCTCGTCCAGCACGCGGTCTGGGGCCAGTCCGCCATGCTCCATGTGCCAGGTGACCGTCTGCAAGCCATACGCCGACGCCGCCGTTGCCCTTCCAAATGCTGATAGCGGGAAGCGGGACAGACGCTGCATCCGCCGTTTGGCCTCTCCCATCCTCTTCGTCCAGTCCGGCTGTGGTGGGGTCACCTGGTTGTCTATCGGCAGGTTCAGGGCAGTAGCAGTGGTTACCACCTTAAGTCCTCCTATTGTCTCCTGCTGGGGGGCTGTTAGCTGGGGTCCTGCTGCTGGCGCCGGCTGCTGTTGTTGCTGTCGCTGCTGGCCAATCCATAGCAGTTCCACTTTCTCCAGATTGAGTCGCTGGCCAGATGCCCGGGCAAATGTTTCCATGGCCTGTAGGAAGGAGGGGACTGATTCCGCGCCATCCAACGCCACTTCCGTGTCATCTGCATATTGGCAGGCGGTGACGGGATTTGGGTCGGACGGTTGCAGCTTAATTCCCACCTCCTGGCTCCGGAGCCAGCATTGGAGAGCTTGGGCGACGAAGAGGTACAGCAGAGGCGCCAGGGGGCAGCCCTGTCGGACACCAGCCTCCATGTCTACCAGCCTGGACTTGTACCCGTTGACCATCGCCCGGGCTCGGGTTTCGCTCAGTAGCAGACGTACCCACGCACACAGCTGTGGCCCTGCCCCCATCGCCTCCATGGCCGCTAGGAGAAAGCCGCGATCCACTGTATCGTATGCTTTGGCAAAGTCCAGGAATGCCAAAAGCCCTTGGCGGTTCTGCTTGCGGAGGAGGTGTGACAGGTGGCGCAGGAAGAGTACGCTGGCCCCAATCAGGCGCTTGGGGAGGAAGGCGGATTGCTCGGGGGTGATGACCCGTCCCAGGGCGGGGCCCAGGCGGTTCGCCAGTACCTTAGCAAGGAGCCGGTAGTCCGAGCATAGCAGCGTGATGGGGTGGTAGTTGCCGGGGAGCTTGGGGTCGCCTTTTTTATAGAGCACTGTGATGATCCCTTCAAGGAAGCCTGCAGGCACCTGCCCGGTCGTGCCAATGGCAGTGAACAGGCCTGCCATGGTATTACCTATGGCTGACCAGAATTTCCTGTAGATGTCGGCTGGAATCCCATCCCACCCTGGGGCCTTGCCAGGTGTGCTCTTCTTGAGTGCCTTCCGCAGTTCGGTGGCTGTGATCTTTTTGGCTCCAAGCTGTTCATCTGCCTCTGCTGGGAGCTTAATGTTGGCTGCGGTGAGGGAGTTCAGTACGGCTTGGCGGGCCTGGGGGCAGATGAAGTCCGGGGCCTTGCTCACATCCTTCCAGAAGTCGGCTACCACCTGGGGCAGCTGAGCGGGGTTGGTAACAAGTCGTCCGGACAAGGCTTGCAGGGCGACAGGGGCTGGTTGTTGGTCTATAGCCTGGGCCTGGAGGAAGGCTGTAAGGGATGGGCTCAGCCTCTCCCCTGCCCGCAGCCAGTGGGTGCGGGCCTCCATGGCATCCTTCCGGCAATCTTCCCGATGTGCTCGTGCGAGCGTTGCCTGGGCTTCGACCAGTTGTTGGAGTGGCTGTTGTGCTGTGGGGGCTGCATCCACCGCTTGCCTTGCCAACTGGACCTGCGGTAACACTTCCCGAGCCCGGGCCCCTGGTCTGAGCTTTCGGTGTTGTGCCGCCTTGTTGAGCTGAAGGGCCAGGGTGCTCAGTCGGCGTTTAAAAGCTGGCCACCACGCAATCAGGCCCAAAGGGTTGTCCTCCGCAGATGGTGCTGTGGCACACTGGCTGGTGATCCATGCCTCCATGCTTGCGGCTAAGTCCTGGTGTGATGTGAAGGCCAGTCCGCACTCGTCGGTTCCCTGGGCCCTTGCTCTCTGGTCGGCACGGCAGCAGGTGCATGACCATTGGCTTGTGATCCGACGGTGTTTGCACGGCATCTCCGTCTTAGCAATGTACTGCACTTCATGTACAAAATGGGCATAACTTAGCCGCACCATACTGCGACTGGAGCCCTGACCACTACCGCTACCACGGTCCGAAATCTTTATGGCTATTTTGATTACAACGTCAAAATGCCATATTAAATTCGACAGAACAAATGTTGCAAACTAGAGCGGCGAAGACCGCTGACCGACCGAAAATTCAAACTGGTCGGAAGACAGCAACGGCCACAAGGCCGCAAACGGCCCAGAGGAAAGTAAAACGAGAGGAATTTACTCCTCTCGAACTCAATATCCTCGCGTCACCGACGGAGCGGCTCTTCGTGCTCTGTCCGGAGACATGGGAATTGGTCGCGCATTGGCCACCGGGCTCCGACATTTCAGATGTCTACGCTCAGAGCTATGGGCGACTTGTAGAGCACATGATTTCTAAGTTGAAATTATATGTACCCGTGGGAACAACACAGAGGGTTCCCCCGGGGACGCAGGGGGGATGCGGCAGGAGAAGAGGGGTAAGAAGACCCCCATTCCCGAACCTCAGGAGGCCAGGCAGGAGACAGTGTTTGCAGCACCACACCAGGCAGCCGACCCAACACCTGGAGCCACCATAGCTGCCGACGCCCCACTCCCAACACCACCAACTGCACCCACACACTCCGCCCTGGGATTGGAGACAACGCACATGGAAATGGAAGCGGAGCAGACCCAGGCGGAATCGGACCTGGCAGACGAGGGGAACCCATACTCAGTGCTGGCGGAGTTGAGGGATGAGGAGGAGAACCCCCCAGGGCAAACCAAGGCACCTGGCGCAGCGGCCACGACCCCCCCCTGGAGCAAAATACGGCACCTGACGCAGCGGCCAAACCCCCCCGGAGGCGGACCACGGCACCTGATGCAATGAGCCTCAGGATAGAGGAGAGGGCTCAGGAGGCGGCCAACCCACCACCAGGACAGCCCAAGCAGCCCCAGGTGGCCATTGTCTTCGGGGCACCCCACACGGCAGCTGCCATCCAACTCACGCCTATCCGGGAACAGCCATGGAAGCCGGTAGCAGAACAAGCCAGCCCTGCCAACAATGCACAGACAAACAGGGAATGGCCATCTCTCGCGCCAACTCAGGCAGCCGGGAAGAACACCACAATGGGCTCCCCGAAAACACAGGTGGATGCCCTCTTTGCCCAGGTGGAGCCGATCCAGCTGCAAATGACACGGCCCATGACCCGGAGTACAGTGACGGCAGCCAAAGCGCAACTAACCCACATGGCAGAAGTGACGAAACAGCGCAGGCCAGACCTACGCGACCAGGTGCCGTATTTTGCTCCAGGGGGGGGGGTCGTGGCCGCTGCGCCAGGTGCCGTGTTTTGCCCTGGGGGGTTCTCCTCCTCATCCCTCAACTCCGCCAGCACTGAGTACGGGTTCCCCTCGTCTGCCAGGTCCGATTCCGCCTGGGTCTGCTCCGCTTCCATTTCCATGTGCGTTGTCTCCAATCCCAGGGCGGAGTGTGTGGGTGCAGTTGGTGGTGTTGGGGGTGGGGCGTCGGCAGCTATGGTGGCTCCAGGTGTTGGGTCGGCTGCCTGGTGTGGTGCTGCAACCACTGTCTCCTGCCTGGCCTCCTGAGGGTCGGGAATGGGGGTCTTCTTACCCCTCTTCTCCTGCCGCATCCCCCCTGCGTCCCCGGGGAAACCCTCTGTGTTGTTCCCACGGGGTTGGGTGGCAGGTTTGCAGCCGCTGCCGCCACTGCCGTTGGGCTGGGGAGGAAGGGCTCTGCTGCTGCTGGGCCCTGGCTGCAAGTCTGGGCCACCTTTGCTCTGTGGGGGCGGTGGTGGCCGTGGTGCGGAGGTGGAACCTATCTCCACTGCAGCTGGTGTAGGGATTTGGGCTGCTACCGCAGCTTGTATCCCTGACACCTGCAGCTCCATCACTGGTTCCCGGGATCCCAGGTGGGTAACGGTGTGTATCGGGCCGCTGAATGCTGGCAGGGGCGGCATTGGCGGTGGCCCTATGATGTTGTGCCTTGCCATCTCGGGGGCGTTAGTTCTCCCCGTGGCTGCTGTGGCGGTGGTCCCCCGCTGGGTTCTCGCGATGGCAGCCCATGTGCCATTTACTACCGTGCCAGCATTGCTTCGGCTGGGGCCTGACTCCGGAATCTGCGTCAATTTTGGCTGAGCCCCCTTGCGTGCTGGCGGTAAACAGCCAATTATAGCGGGGGCTGCCTCCAGCGCCAAGGGCACCTTGGTCGCGACCAGGGTCCCAGTGCAGTGGGTACTGTCCCCTGGCGTGCCATACGTATAGGGGAGCTCCGCCGGGAGATTGAAGTTTCCCGCCGGTAGCTTCACTGCCCATTTGTCAGCCTGGAAGGGGCATTTGCAGGGAAAGCCGAATTCCTCCCTCTTCCATTGCCTCCCGCTGACCCTGGTGTACGCCATCGCGAGGAAGGCCGTAACTCCCTGGCGCGTTATGCCCAGCGGAAGTCCTGACACTTCCCACCGACGCGGCACTATCTTATCCAAGCCTTTAACCGTTAGTTCCACGTTTACCGGCTCCTGGCCGGGGTAGAACTCCACTCCGCCTAGCTGTAGGCGCCCCTCCCTGAGAAGCTCGCTGTTGGTGAGCCTTGCCAAGCTGCCCGGTGGCATCAGGACTGAGATCTCCATCCCAACGCGCTTATCTTTCATTGGGAAGATGCGCCGCTTCGTCACTGCGGGCCCTTCCAAGGCCTCAAGATCCGCTGATTTTGCCCATAATTTCAACTTAGAAATCATGTGCTCTACAAGTCGCCCATAGCTCTGAGCGTAGACATCTGAAATGTCGGAGCCCGGTGGCCAATGCGCGACCAATTCCCATGTCTCCGGACAGAGCACGAAGAGCCGCTCCGTCGGTGACGCGAGAATGTTAAGTTCGAGAGAAGTAAATTCCTCTCGTTTTACTTTCCTCTGGGTCGTTTGCGGCCTTGTGGCCATTGCTGTCTTCCGACCAGTTTGAATTTTCGGTCGGTCAGCGGTCTTCGCCGCTCTAGTTTGCAACATTTGTTCTGTCGAATTTAATATGGCATTTTGACGTTGTAATCAAAATAGCCATAAAGATTTCGGACCGTGGTAGCGGTAGTGGTCAGGGCTCCAGTCGCAGTATGGTGCGGCTAAGTTATGCCCATTTTTTACGTATGTATGTATGTATGTATGTACGTGTGTGTGCCGGTACTGCAGACGCCTGGGTGGAGTTGAGGGTTATGGCTGCTGTATGATGTTATTACAGGGTGGTATAGCTTCACCAGCGCCCCCCTTTCCCTTGGAGGCAGTTCCCTGCTCTCCCTGCTAGAGGGCCACCCTAATCCGTTCACCCCATCCGACTTCAGAATGTATTCGTTGGGTTCAGCAACTCACCACCAGCATCCAACCAAATCTAGCGGATCAACGGCGACTCAACTTAGCTCCTGGTCAGCTCGCAAGCTGCTATTATCACGTCCTACACCGTCCACAAGATGGGGGACCACCTCCCAATTCATCACCCCTCACACACCGAGGGACTGGCAGGCGGATTTGAACCCGGAACCTCCGGGAGCAGAAGTCAGGCCTTAACTTCTGCCAGCCACCTGCCTGTGCTGTATGTATGTTGTTACAGGGTGGTTAACTTCGCCAGCGGCCCCCTTTCCCGGGGCAGTCCCTGCTCTCCCCTGCTAGAGGGGCACCCTAATCCGTCACCCCATCCGACTTCAGAATGTATTCGTTGGGTTCGGCAACTCACCACCAGCATCCAACCAAATCTAGCGGATCAACGGCGCATCAACTTAGTTCCTGGTCAGCTCGCAAGTTGATATTATCACGTCCTACACCGTCCATATGATGGGGGGCCACCTCCCATTTCATCACTCCTCATACACCCGAGGAGCTGGCAGGCGGATTTGAACCCGGGTCGACTGGATCGACTGGGAGCAGAAGTCAGGCCTTAACTTCTGCCAGCCCTGTATGTATGTCGGTATGTTGTCGGTCTAGCCCTACCCCCCCCCCCTAATTCCCGCTCAGAGCCGCACCAGCCCTAGGCCTACCCCGCCCTCCAGTCGGCCCGGCCCTTCCATAGCCCCGTGAATCGCGCGCGTCCTGGTTTTCTTGGCGCACTGCACTTCGCTTCGCTTCCGTTTGGCCGCCCCACCGCCATCTCCCTCCCTCTTTTTCGCGCGCCTTTTAGTTCCCATAATGAGCTTTTTCCATTTCATGCAGTACGTTTTGACATATACGCTTTCCACCTCACACACATACAGACAGACAACCGAGTTGGTGTTTTGGATGTCGGCCTTGCCCCATTAATAGTGAATAGCATCGACATTTGATTCTCACCCGCACACCCACACCCACACCCACCCATATACACCCCCGCCACAAACACACACACGCACCCCGACCCCCGACAGCTACGCCGCCTTCAAGGAGCGTTACGCCGCTACCTGTGAGGTCATCGAAGGACCTGTACGGCAGGCGAGCAAAGAGGGTCTGGGGCCTCACCTGCCGTACCTCATCAACATATTGGACGAGCTGCCGGCTGACCCCAAATCCGAGTACGCGTTTAATGTACGTCCATCTGTCTGTCTGTCCGTCCGTTTGCCTGCGGTGATTGTGCTGGTAGTGGTAGTGCTGGTTCTGTAGACACGCTGTGCCGTTCAACGGACGACATGGGGGGGGGGGGCCAGACAGACAGGGGAAGTTGGGGGTTGAGCCACCCAGCAGGGCCACCCAGCAGGGCCCCCTAGCTATGGGGGAACCCTATGGTCTGAGCCCTCAGTGCGGTGCACGGTGCACTGCCGACACCTCCCCCCCACCCAGGTACACGGCCCACCCAGGTACCAAATCCCCTCCGCGGGCCCCCTCCCCTTTCCCCCGCTGGTATGGGCGGTCCCAATGGCATCCCACCTTGGCCGTTAGATTGTTCGCACTCGCTCCGCACTCGCTCCGCACTCGCTCCGCACTCGCTCCGCACTCGCTCCGCACTCGCTCCGCACTCGCTCCGCATTCGCTCCGCACTCGCTCCGCACTCGCTCCGCACTCGCTCCGCATTCGCTCCGCACTCGCTCCGCACTCACTCCGCATTCGCTCCGCATTCGCAAGGGACTCCCACGCCATCTCCCGATAACCACCTCTTTACACCCACTTCGTCACCCCCCACCCCACACTGAGCTCCCCCCTCCCCCCCGACCTCATCTCTCACCCGCCACCAACCTACCCTACAAATTGCCACAACTACCATAACCGTCGCAACCGCACAGGTGGAGCCCTTTGCTCCGGTTCTGACGGTTGTTCGTTTGCCCACCCGGGGCCCC